GGAATTGAGGTTAATATCACTGCAATTGGTTGGGCCGCAATCACTCGGTCCCCACCTGCGGCGTTTCCACTATTGGTTAACATCTTTCTTCGATTACTACCCGATCACCACTGGCAGAGCAAGGCAGTTAGGCGACATGCCGTTTCCGACTGATTGCGACGTTACAAAATACATAACTACAACCCGCACTGACGTCTAAATCCAAATGATGGACTATCTAAAAAGAGTAGCTCTCACTGTTCGATAAGAATAATTACAGACAGGCGCTGACGGTATGTTTCGTGAACAGTGGCACGAGTGTATTTGCCGGTTTCGTGATTTTCTCTTTCATCGGATTCATGGCTACCCAACAAGAGAAAAGCGTCGCTGAGGTAATTTCTGTCTTTAGAAACTTTCCAAGAAATCAATTTATTTGACTTCTAAGGAGCAACGTTTTTACATCTGTATGGGGACGGAAAGTTATGGAAGTGGAAAAAAAATCGAGAAAACAGTAAAGTGTTCCAGGTTGCTCAAGCTGGACCTGGATTGTTGTTCCTGGCATATCCATCAGGGATTCTTCAGCTGCCATACACCAACATTTGGTCTTGCCTGTTCTTCTCTATGGTTCTTTTCTTGGGAATAGATTCACAGGTAATTCAGATCGTGTTTATTTACGTACTTGCATTTTTCTTATTTGTGTAAAAGTCTCAGGTTTTACTGCTTGGGACTAGTGAATCAGAGGAGGCCGGGACCGCGGCTTCTCCGTCCAGTCGTCTGACATTCCATAGCGCTGAGCCGTTCGGAATAAGAGACCAGTATCTGCCGGCAGACCTAGCAGGCCCAGCGTGCACCCTACCAGAAACCAGCGAATTCCATCCCTACAACAAATCCAAGCCGCACTGCGCCAGCATTGCCTTTGCACCCACGGTAGGCGCACAGATGAGTCTTGTCATACGTCGTATGCAACCGCATCGCTCCTCGACTGGGCCACGCCATTCCGTTGGACCATGTCGCGCGCGTCGTGCGGCCCAAAGCAACCGACGGAACCTTTTTACGCTCGGCCCTCCCAAAATGGTTTGAATTGCTTAACCTCAAGTTTTCCTATGTTGTCGTTCCCTTAAAAAAGGGAGCGATACACGAAATCACATCGTAGACATCAGTGTAGTAGGGGAGATCAATTCGAAATGTTTTGTCACAGCCATTCTTGCTCGTTTTGTCCCTCACAGCTCTCAGATAAACCTTGCAAAGATCCCGGGGTTCCAAAAGGAAGGTGGAGACAAGCAGAAAATGGGTGCTTCCGGATTGCGTGCGGATTGTTCCCAGCTGTCCTCAAGTACACTAGCACACCAAATGGTTACACTTACACTTGGCAAACCCCCCCTTATGATTGCTGTAATCTGGAGCGCAAAATTTCCAAGTTTTTGTGTTCTCGGGAGGGTTCTGTAGCTCCTGGTTCTGCCTGTACTGCCACTAGTTGCGGATAAGGTGGTCTTCGCAAGTCTCACAATGTTATTCATTTCAGTTCTGTACGATGGAAGGTTTCTTCACAGCGATTATCGATGAGTTTCCAATCATGCTTCGTGCTAGCAAGTATGGTCGGGAAATTTTCGTTGGAGTCATTTGTATCATATCGTACATCATAGGGCTCAGCACTGTGACTCAAGTTAGTTTTCAAATCTTTTGAAGCTACTCTCAGAATTATCTCGTGAAGCCTGCTTACACGCAAACACCATAAATAACAAACACATGGACAACGCACCGCTTGAGTCGTATTCACATATGTAAGGATGTCCGATGCATGGCTCATCCGAAAACAGCATACCATTTTTGAAGCGCAGCATCCAGCAGCTAGCGTCTTCTCATGACAGCAATATTCGCAGTGTGTTGGAGATTTTGTATCAATGTGTTAATTCTCGAAATATGTTTTAAGGGTAGGTTTCTATGTGTTCCAATTGTTCGATTTCTATGCCGCATCCGGTTGGGCACTGTTATGGCTGCTTTTCTTCGAATGTATCGCAATCTCGTGGAGTGTTGGTGAGTTTGAAGTGGGAGCCACGCGACCCGTTTTTGATCGTTGCATTTCAAACTGTTTACACTTTCAGCGAATCGATCGATGGTATGAACACATAAAAAGTATGATTGGCTACTATCCGAATCGATGGTGGAAGTTCTGTTGGGTGTTTGCAACACCAACAGTTTGCATGGTATGAGATGTGTCTTTTCAAAGGCACACTCGCGCCTGAGCCTATATGGCGGAATCAGGCCTACCGACGTGGCTTCCTCACTGAGAAAGAAAAATACCCGGTCTCTCCCTTATTCGATTGGGCAGTGAAAGTGGACGCACAATGAAGAAGTCATGGCGCGCAGTTCGACTCCCCGCTATGGTGACTGCGCAGAACTCTGGCTATAAGGCATTGTCCATCTGCGCCGCAGCGTTTCTCGCTGGTTCTCCGGTCGGCGAAAAGCTTCTGATACTACCCGACTGCGGTTGGTTGGGCGAAGAGTCTGGCGGCTGGGCGAAAGGTTTTTGATACGAGTCGGCCGCTTCCCGCCCAATAACGCCGAGTTTTCGCGCTTCGACGAAACTGGTTCATCGCCTCATGGCTGTTTTTCGCTAAGCGAAATCGATGCGCGTAGCTTATTTTTGCTTTACGTCGATTTGACTATCTTCAGGTTTTACTTTATTCATTTGCTTTTCGCCCAACCGCCGAACCGCGGCGGTTCGGCGAAACTAGCGGTTGGCGATTCTCCGATCGATGACTATTTTTTGCTTTTCTCCCAACCGCCGTTTCGTCAGGGTCGCAGGCTGTGAACAATGCCTAATTTGGAAGTTAAAGTATTTATTTTGCACTACAACACACCTATGCTCTAAAAAACAATTGGATGCTGTATTAGAAACTTCAGTGATTATCATTCCCTCTGAAATGTATTGAGCTCTCCACTTTTATAATCGAGGGACTTGATGTGTGAACTGCTTCCGACTATCGCCTGCCACTTGACCAGTACCGTTTGGGAAGACGGAAAGTATCACTTGTCATTGAGATTTAAGACATTTCATTCAAGGAGGTGGTACGACACTTTACAGCGTACTGCATACAGGGTACAGCATCGTTGTGTCAAACCCATGGGGGGTCGTACTTTTGCTCTGGGGAGGGGGGGGTCGTATTTGTAAGACAAATTTATTTTGATAGTTGATTTTTTCTTGTGGAAAAGGGGGTCGTATTAATTTTTTGTTTTATATGCACTATATGCATTCTGATATACGTTGCATAGTTATTGTATACCCCCCCCCCTCCCCTCCCCCGCTCGACAACTTTTTCGCCGACTATATACTCATCGCTCGCTCGTTGTCGGCGATCGGCGAAAAAGCCGTGGAGGGGGGTCGTGCCTGGACCCCATTCGAAGGGGGGGGGGGTCGTACTCACACCGACATTTCGCACATCCCCATGCTGTACCCTGACTGCATACCGCTACATTTTGCGTCGCGCTTTATGACAAAATAGACCCCAAGTGGAATAACCCATAGTTTTCCTATATTTTCGCTTTACCCCGTCTTCTGTTCCTTTGCCCTACATTTCTCCCCGTCACAGCAAGGAGAAGACATCTATCATCGCTGTCAACTTCAGCAGAGCCTACAGAGCTTGCACTTGGCTGAAGCAGTGTACATTTCTGGAGGCAATCGCGTTTGGTGCTAAAGGCAACAACGCTACAGAGGCAACAACGCTACAGGTGTTGAGCGTTGATTACGTCAGTTCTTAGGATTCAAGAGTCAAGTTTAGTGTCAGAGGAAAGAAGCATACCTGAGGGCAGTAGCAGATCCGAGCGACGACTGCGTGTTTTCAAGCCGAACTTTCCTC